TTCCTCTTCTTCGCAACAAAGTCTGCAGCTATTGTCTCTTGTAATACCTAGGTTCGATAGATGCTTTTTTACTCCGCAATGTCCAATAAGAGACCCTGTGACAAATTTGCACTACTTTCAAAATATTTTCCCGGTTCTATTAAAGTCAGCTGTTTTTAACAATTTATTTTACGCATAGTTGCATTTGAAATTTCCGTTAACTTCAGCTTTCGAAAAACAACTTAATTTCGCTGACGAGAAGATGAAATTAAGATTTTTGCGAAATTAAGGTGTGTCTGAACATAGTATAAGATTTCTTGTTAAAAGAGCATTATTTGTGTTACGAGTATTTATTAGTAAATTGAATGTTCACGAAAAAATAGAATTAACGTGAGAAAATTCTCGTTTTATAATATATTACGACTTTCGACGTGAATTCTCAAGACAAGAGTGCGTCGATCAACTTACTTTCACATTTGGTGGTCAAGCTCCTTCCATCCTTTGCCACCGCGAAACGCTGGTACAATGATTTTAATCGTGGCCGGCCAAAGCTTACGCACTGACGAAATTCGTGAAGATCTTAAGGTCGTCCAAAATCAGTTAGCATCAGTTGTACCAGAAAACATTGATGCTGTGTAAAAACTGACAATGCAATATCGTTATGTGGCATACTGTGAGTTTGAGGTTGAGGTGAAACCCTAGACATTAGTTTCACCAGCATACAAATATATAAAATATTGCACGATCATTTAGCCATGAAATCCCCTATCATTTAACAAAATCTCAAAAAGATACTCGTGTCGATTGGTGCACACAAATGCTCAAGAAGTATAATGGCGGTGCTTCGAAAGACGTATATAAAATTGTAACAAGTGAAACAGCAGTCGACTGTATGGGTGTTTCCAGATGAACTAAATCCAACAAGAGTTGTTCGCACTCGAAGCAATTCGAAACAGATGGTCACTTGTTATATCGGAAAAACTGGTCATGTGGCCACTACATTATTACAGAAACGCAAAACAGTCAATTCCGAATACAATACCGGTATACAACCATTTTGTTGTCTTCAGTGAAATACGGAAAACAAATAAGCGCTATCGGATGATTATCTATCTCTATCAAAACAATGCACGTGCTCACACATCTCGTTTAACAACCGACTATTTGAACATTCAAAAAATCGAATATAATGGGTCATTCGCCGTACAGTCCTGATTTGGCACCAAAAGACTTCTTCTTGTTTCCGAACGTCAAGAATAAATTGCATGGACAGCGATTTTTGTCGGCGGAAGAAGTCGTTGTTGAAGATTGGAAAAAATAATTTGACAAATTTGATAAATGTAAAAGTGTATTATATTAATCATAGGGAAGAAAACTTCGAGAAACAATAAAGCAATCTTCAACAAGTTAGAATTTTTTCGTTATTAGACTCAAAATATAAATGGTCACACTCGAAAAAAGCACATTTACTGCACTTGCAAACAAATTTTATAGAACAGTACAAAAGCATGGACTTTCGTTTTATGACATATTTATACCATATATTCTCAATCGTTTCAGATAATATTTCTTCAATTTGATTGCAATAAAAGCTTGTAGAAAATTCTTGACACCAATTTTTTATTTGTTTAATTAAAGTGTTAAACATCTTATACGAATTGCGCATCAAAAGTATATAACACTTACCCTGTCTTAAAGTAGGTGAATTTTTAAATTTTTAATAAGACCTCAATACACACTTTGTGCTTGATCTCCATTGTATGTGCATTAGAAATTCTAATTTTGAGGTTAAAATTAATTCCATTTCTCATTAAATTATTCGCATTATTTATTTTCAAAACAAATTTCTCTTCAACTCACGAGTTAATATTGTAAACTAAAAACTTATTTGTTGTATACATTTGATGAAAGCCCTAAGGCACGGTAGATACTCAATGCAATTTTAGTAAGCAATTATATATCGGAACTACATATACATTGGTATACATTGGAAAGGGTATACAATATTTCTCATCATAAAATTAGTCTAAGATATTCGCAATTGTTCAGTAAGAGAATACTGGATTAATACTCACATCTAAGTGACATTCAGTAACATATTAAAAAATTTTATACAAATTCCCTTAAGCTTATTTCCATCCTAAGTATAGTATGCAACCCACGATTGTGTGAATTCTAAAATAATACTTAAAATAAAACTGTCATGCATTGATAGTGTGTGAGAAATAATGAATCTTATATATTAACATTCAAAATGATTCAAATTATTAACTCCTTTTCCTTAAATCAGGAACAAAATAATCATATCAAATAATTTATTAAGGCCTTTTTCATTACATTTGTATTGAAAAAAACATAATTGGTTCACTTTTCAATTAATTATGTATGTTAAGTACTCGCAGAATTTTATTTGTCATGGCAAACTGCAAAGGAAAACTGCATAATCGCACAGAATATATTAAACAGTTTTAGCCCCTTTCACGGAGCAAAAACATTAATTCACATCAGAGATTTTCCTCTTATTGATTTGGTATAGCTATATATACTGTGTTAATGAATAATCGGCTAACATTAGCTAAGGAAAGGAACTGGTGAAGATAGTTCCTTAGCATGGAAAATATGAAATGTCGTACCATTTCGAAAGTTATCAATGTAAAAGAGACATCAAATATGACGTATTGTTGACAAATAAAAAAATTAAAGGCGGTTTAACGTCTACAATCTGCAACCAGTCTTTCGAAATATATGAGTAATAATTCTTTTCTTTACACAAACCTCGGTGATTATTGACTTTCATGATAAAGAAATAAAACTACAATATCTTGAATTAGATTCTTTCCACATTCTATTTTGTTCTCATTTAAATCGTTAAACAATATGTCAATATATATTCTGACTCTAACGGTCAGGTCAAAGAGCTCAAAATCCATCCGAGAAATATCTATTAAATTATTATAAATTTAACATACACGGGTTTTTTGCTGTACTTAGTGTGTATATATCATGTGTATATATCGTGTGTATATATCTGTAATCTTATAACAAAAATAATAACGTTTTACTCTTTTGTGCATTAGGTTGGTTTTACAGGTTGATATATTTATTTTATTGATCAAAGTAGCAAATGTATGTTGTCTAAAACCATATTTTTGTTTAAAATTTTATAAATGCAATTTCGTGTTCACTTAAATACAACAAAATTCATAAAATATTTTCAAATAAAAAAATATAAGGGAAGAAGAATTTCTATTAAGCGTAGTCGTGTGAAGATTACTTTGATATTTTACTTAGAATTTTATGTAATATTTTTACATTGCTTAAATGTAGATTAAATAATTAAATTCTTAATGTTACACTTTATAATTAATTAAGATTATGTTTGCATATAACAGAATACATTTTTTACAAATATCTTGTTTTCAGTTGCTTAAGTTCAATTCTACAAAGATACATATTTTTTAATATAACTTCTACTTCATAAGAACTAATAATTCATGAGCTTGTTGAGGTTAGAAAGTTTATACTCCTATGCGCTTAATTTGAAGCCTTTACGATTGTGACTGCATTTTTGTTACTTTTTCCATTTAAATGAATAAAATGTCATCTACAATTTCTTTGTAGATATTCAATTATACAATTTGGAATTTGTTAATTTTGTAGTGGTTCGTTCGATTTAAATAAAATGAATTTTAAAAATTGCGCTTATACATTGAATTTATTTACGCGAAAACCTGCACTGCATTTTATAAATAAATCTATTTATTTATATGAGGTAAATTGAATTCAAGTTCTTTTCACGATTATTGGTTATCTTTGGTTTGTTTAGTTCAGTTCTGTTATGTTCTGTTCTGTTCTATAAATTGTTTTGTAGTTATTTCATTGCAAGCTTCATTAAATCGGTAAGGAAAAATGCATCACTGTGGAAAAATGTCACAATGAAGTTTTCTGAAAATTTAATAAAAATTTACAAAATTTAAGTTGCGTCAAATATTTTAAAATTCATCTTATATCATAAATCAGAAAACAAAAGTTATGCCATTAAATTCACGCATTTCATTGCAGTTTTTATAACTTTTTTAATTGTGTTAAAGCGTATCTAAATACTTTCCCCTTTTAGGATTGCATTGACTTTCTTCTGTGTTCATCTTTTATGTTGTATTGAGTTTTAATTTGCACTATCGTTTCCAATAAAATTTTTGGTACACGTATCTTTAGTGGTTTTATATTGGATGCGACACGCATCATCTAATATCAGTATACACCAACTTCATTGGAAACAATGTTTGATTTTTATTATAACTAAACTTAAAATTAATATATGATTACTTTTTACAAATACCACTTTTGAAGGTATTCCATTCGTTTTCGTAAGCGAGGATAACAAGTTCCTTATTGAAACGCAGTTCAAGACACAGAAATTCCAAGAAAACTATAATAAAAAATGTTTTGTAAGAAAACTACACACTCTTTGATATGCACATTAATGTGATCCTTTTGATTTGGAACTGCAGTAAAATTATATTCATAGTTTCTCCTTAGTGGAGTTCCTGATCTGTAACTGTTACTTTTTTGCTTTTAAATTATATAAATTTTTTACATATACATCGCTTATATATTTCTTTGCTTCAGTATATTTTAAAATATTTTCTATATACAAAGGTAATTAACTTTTATAGTTTTATGCAGTAAAAAAATGTTTCATTTTCAGTCTATTCTTTTTTAACAATTAAGGAAAATATTTTTTGTATTTCAGCAAAAACATGTTTAGTTACATTTTAGCTTTAGCTTATTTTATGTTACATTTTTGTTTTTTTTTTAAATATTGTTTTGTTACTTCAATTTATCTGATTAAAATGTTACTTTTTCAATAATATTTTGCTATTTTCTTTATAAGTGGTTTACTAATGTATTTAGTATTTTTTTAAATATAAAATTCATAACAAATGGTTGAAAAATACAATTTTATATTAAATAATTATAATATTAAATAGTGAATACATTTTTTAAAACTTTTTTAAGCACCAAAATTAAAGTTTTTTCTTTTCAGATTTTCCATCTTTCGTCCCTTAGTTATTGATTTATTATTCCCATCTGATAAATTCATTTCTTTCTAATTATTTATATTTTTCATATTTGTTTAATAGAATTCATTTAAATATTATTAAAAAATTTCGAATATATAACAAGTTTTGTTTGATTAGCAAGGATTGCTTAGAATTTTATATCCTGCATATCCTTCTGAGCGTTAGCCTGCATTTTACACGTTTGTGTTAAATCAGGTAGCCTTGAATTTCCATTTGTAGTAGCATTAATATTATGACTATGTTGTTGAGCTTCTACCGTCACCATATAAGGCTGCAGTTTTCGACTATGCTCTTCAAATATTGCTTCCATTTTAACCATGCAATCAAGTAAACATTCCTAAAATTAAACAATCAAACATTAAAGCATTAAACATTAAACATAATTAAATAGAATTTAAATTCAATTATTAGCAGTTAAAAAATCATTTTTAATATAATATAATAGCAAAAATTATCTGTAGAACTTGTTAAAACCGAATCCAAATTTTATTACATATTATAATAATATTATATATTGGTATCATTTCATAATCTTGCAATGGAATATAATTTGTGGAATACAATAAGACAATTAAATTTTAAATTATATTCGAATATACGTTTTTTTACAACTATATTTAATCCACCCACAATTATTTTAACATTTTAAATATATTGTATACACATATATTCTTTCAATAAGTTATTTTAATTAACAACGATTTTTGTTATATAACTGAAAGTAATCATTTAAATGAATCATGAATCTATTATTTAATAATATCTATTTATAATTCAAGTATTTGCCATCGAATCTAAAAATACGAAAAAATTTATACAATAGATTTTACATAAATATAATTTTATTTTATTGACTTCAGAGTAAGCTTCATCGAATGCAATAAAACAGTGCACCTGCTTAACTGAATCCTCCATTCATTTTTGTAGACTGATTTCAGTTAGGTGCAGTCTTTAACTCCTTTTTTAAATTTACGTTTATGACCACAATCGACTCGGAACGCATTTCTTGCAGCCTCGAAAGAACATTTGTTGATTTTCTAGCCACAAATTCTTGTTAAACGCAGTATATTTTACACAAATTTTACAAATTATAAATTCCGGCTACTTTTTACACAAAATGTTGATAAAAAAACATCTGTTTCTAAAAGACAATATCTTTTGCATGTTATAAAATTAAGCAGTTCTTACCTGTGCGATACTTGTTAAATCTGTTAGAAGATTTAACAAATGACGTAAATTGTGACCAGAGCGCCCATGCCAATTCAAGCCGCTTAGAGCAGCAGCAATACTTGACGCGGCTATGGTACTGGCAGAATACTTTGAAAAGTAATGCTCTAAAATAAAGAAGTGAAAGAAATCAATTAGTTTTGAAATGAGATTCATTTTAGTGTGTTAAAATGTTAAAATTTAAATAGAAAATATTTTTAAAAACAACTTCATGCTTCATATATATAACTACAACCGATATAATCTGCAAATTTTTATATCAATAAAACCCATCATATATTGCAAATAACTAGAAAATCAAACTAGAAAATCTGAAAAACGATATGATGATGAAAAAGGGCAACGCCCGCATATATATTTTTGAAATATTTAATTACCAATTATAAAATATGATATACTATGAAAGGTTTATTAACTTTGAATTTAGTTCTGCTCTTTATACACACATATTTTAAGAGCAGACTTATTGATGCAATTACGATGCATAGGTTAAAGATTAATAGTATAAAGCGGCCAAAACTGTGAAAACAGAAACATTAAAATTAAATACAATGTTGCCTTCGTAGAATTATAAAGGGACAGGATGCAATACGATTTAGGCGGGGTCGGCTGCATCAGTAGATTTCGTCGTATGTGCGAAAATTTTATTGAAATTACATTTGTGCCGTAAGTCACGCTTGCCTGAAATAGGAGTGTGAAACTGTAGCAGCTACTCGAAGGGCATGGCACCCTGACCGTCTCAATATGATATGTTATAGTTTGAGTAACCACCAGCTTATTTTGCAGCACTATTCTAACAGTACAACCAGTACTAACATACAAACCAAAATTCATTGAAAATATACTTATTATTTATCAATAAATATGTGTGAGTGCAATAAACGAACTCCCACTGAAAAAGCGATTCAAATTGATTTTATTTGTACAATTTTACAAAGAAATCTCTTAAGCGAAAACTGAAAAAATTTATTAAATTTTAATGACTAATCCAATGAGGTAAATTTTTTTTTGTAAACACGAATTCCAATCGTATGCATTATTTTTATGTTTAAGTTCATCTACAATTCATATATAAACATGTATATAATATTTAATTAATTTTAAACAGAGATAGGTTTAATTGGATTGCTTTATAATAAATAAACTCTCAATAATTTTGTCATATTAAAACCAATGAGAATTTAAAAAAAAAATCTCCTCATTCCTTTGCCTTTCCTAAAAAGGAACGTTACTTAGTTTTTTTTTTTTTTGTTTTGCTTTTTACTTTAAAGTACATAATTAATTTCTAGTTTGTAGTTAATAACAGCAAAATCATTTTAAATTGTGAACGACGACAAAAAAATTTTCAGCGATCCACCTAAACGAAGAACTACTTTTGTTCACATTGTCAACAATATTTTCTTTGATTTTATTCGCCGATGTGTGCTGATTTTAGCCAAGTTAATGAAATCACATTCAAAGTCGTGGTACTGCAGGTAGAGTAAGGAGAAAAGCATTAAATATAAGCCAATTATCAAAAATTCTTTTAAGTCTGGTCGTATCTTATATCTTTTTAATACTTTGTGCAACGCTACCTCATCAAAAGACTACATAACCGTCGCAGGAATATAAAAATAAAAATACAAAAATAAAGATACCCCAATCAGTAACACTTTCTGAGTTTAAGGATAGGTGGTCGCAATACTTACTTTACATTTTTACGAGAAACTTTGTAGTTGAAAGAAGAATTTTGTACAAAAAATAAGTGTTCAGCAAATGCGAAACTCTGTAGAGATTTCCTTTATAAACTGGATTTTACACACCCTTCCTTAAAAGGTTTCGTCGTCTCGAACATATTTTTTTTTAGTTTTTAGTCAAAATTATTAAATGACTACTTTATGCAAATTACACACTGGAGAAGTAACGCCGAAGGTGGCGAGAGGAGCTACATATGGGTATACTCTTTGTTATTGTTAATTTTGATAAAGACAATATAGCTTATCCTTATTCAAATTTATTTCTCAAAGATAACATTGATTAAGAAATTAAAATTGTTAATTTATAAACACAGCACTAACATAAAAAACAAAAAAAAAAACGTTTTTTT